TAGTGCTAGGTCACCATCTCCCCCTACTGGAGAAACACCATTTGTACTGGAGAACACGATCAAACAATGTGCAGTAGACCATATTAGACTAATACATAGTCTCTATACTGTAGATTAGTTTATAGATTGCAATTTGGAGCAGGCATACTGCAGTGCGAAGAGGCTAAACACTGTAATTGTTGGACTATACAATTAATAAATATGGGACTATAAGCATGTACCAGTTTTAATGCAAAGCAGACTGTTATACATAAGGCATGCCAACTGCCAGGCTTATTTGTATTCTAGTCCATGCCTCTGTAACCCTTCAAGCACTGGCTCACATGGGGACCAGGTAGGAGAAATGCTTCAGGGCCACCAACCTTGTACAAAATGGTGGACTGCAATTCAGTTAAGGAATGGGCTACTGATTTTTACTGATTAATGTTTCTTGGGAATATAATTTAAACTTGTAAGACTTTAAGAAACATAGTCGTAAGGGACTGTTTGAAAATTATTAAGGGAGGAGAGGAGGTTGCTGAAAGTAGCGTAGCCTGACTTTTTTGGGAGAGCTGGGGAAGGTAAATTTTTTATCAGCCTAAATTTATATTTTATTCTCCTTTGCAATACATTTAATGGTCACATGAATAGTTACATCAAAAAGACAACCTTTACTTGTGCCATTGTTGATACTTTTCCCTTGCCATATGCAAAGGGCAACAGTTCTGCGTCTGGCACAAATTTTTCATTAATATATTAAAGTTTAAATTGGGGAACATGATTAAACAAATTCTTTTTTTTTTACGTGTGGGGAGCAGATTTTTAAACTCAATGAGGTTTTAAAGAAAACATTAATAACCAAGGGGATGTTTAGTCCCACTAACCACCCCATAATTTTTCATACAGTCCCTAAATGGATGTCTCCAAGCCCAAGTGCAGTTGCACTGCTTGCATGCTCGGAAATTACAAAAGTGCCTCTATCGACACTTGAAGAATAAATTGAAAACATTTCAAGGTGCTCACACTGTCGTATCACGTATGTACATCAGTGCAAACGCTGATCTCATACACAGTGCATTTTCTTCAATTTTCTCCTGCACACACAACATTAAACGTCAGAGGCTCACAGACATACTGTGTGAACACACTGAGTCTTCCTGCACAGGGCCACAGCCTCAGATCTCTGCAGGGAAAATGGAAGGAGACATCCTGTCATCCACCATCACACCACCCCCCACCATGCAGTGTGGCAATTGCATTTAGCTATAGCCTCCAGCCCCTTTCCATCTAAACTCCACATCACAACACCAGACTGTGACTTGCTCATTTAGAGGACCTGCAACGACTACAAGTTTTTTTTAAAAAGCCCCCGAACTACGATGAACTGGCATCCTGAGAGGTTAGAAGGTGATGCAGACTGATGAAAAAGTCAATAACGACCCTTCAGACCAGCAGACAACATGCCCTGGCTGTGCTGTAGTCTCAAACTTTTGATCATAGAAGGTAACTGCCCTGAGCTTTAAACTACCAAGAAACATTACAGCTGGGTTCCAAAACTTTTTCCAGAAATGATCTCCTCATTTTCAAACTGTAGGCAAATTTATTCCTTCCACTTAGTTATAAAAATATGTGTATGTATAAACATGGCAAATACCACAAAAATCTTAAAGATCCCACAGTCCCTCCTAATTGAATTGCATATTTGTTTAAAAATATAAACAGACCAAAACATGACATAAAAAGGCAAAGACATGATCGCAGTGCCTTAATTGTGAGGATAAATATTTATCGTTGCCTCAGAAGTTTACTCAAGAAGCAATGTAGCTCATCAGTTCAGTGGGTGAGTCTTGAATGTGTGGTGTTAATACAGCTGTAATTGAAAGAATACAGTAGTAGATAATAATCAAAGGTACTGGCCATACTGACCAGCAGAGGACAGTGTCATCCCATATGGAGTAAGCCTGTGGGGACATTTGAAGGTGGGTGTGTATACAATATATGTTTGTACCATGGAGCAGTCAAAACTGAAGGATTTTGTGGTACATCCAATTTTCCAAATACTTTGAAATAGAAGGAAATGTTGGTCAACTTTGGTCCAGTGTGTAAGATATAGGAGGATGTATCTATATATTCATCCATATATATTAATAGGTGTGTTTACCGGGGGCAATGCACATTAACCAACCCTGCCATTCACACTTAAATGTAAATGTGCTGGAGTTAGCTAATAAGCAAATTTTCATCCGTAGTCACTGAGTTATAACAAATTAGACCAATCACTTGAAAAAAAGAATCAATGCGTCTTCGTTACCTGAAGAATGTGTAGTTTTTATCCATAGAGGGATTGGGTCCTCTTCTATCAATATTCATACTGTAGCCCAGAATGGACAAGTCAAACTCTGGCTTCTAGATAAGGCTTTTTTCAGAGGACAGCCACCTGGTACCTACATGCAAGGTTGAACATTCTCAGTTTAACCCTTTGGGGGGCCTCTAGAGTGTCTAAAATAAAAATAATCATTACAGATCCATTATCATTTAAATAAAGCATATCAGTTAGATTAGGACAGTACACTATGTGCATATTATAGGATCCAAAATTTTAAAGGCATTTATTAAAACACCACAAAGCTACAGTTAAATAGAAGAAAATGTGTTTTTTGACTTCCTCTAGCTGTGCCATTTAACTGCTATCATGCTATTCTGACACTTTCTCATTTAAAAAATAATAAATCTCTAATTTACAAGCTCTCCTCAGTTATAATATTTATCTGATTTTTTTTGCTGGCACCTGTTGCTGAAAATGTATTGGCTGCTGACTGTCAGTGAGATATTTTTAGGGGGGCTGCATAAATAGATAAAAAATTCTCTATATATATATTGCATTCACTTCTCCCACATAAATATGTCACACAATCTTTAAAAAGTTGAAGTTTTTACATTCACCAACACATGTCTCCTTGCTGTCTGTCTCTCTGTCTCAGTCTTAGCCATATATTTTGTCTGGTTTATATTTGCCTGAGGCTTTTGGGGTCTGGTCCAGGTCTGTGCCATAAATTGAATCTCCACAGACAGCACAATATTTGAGTGAATACATGCTCAACTTGAGTTTCATTGTTGGGATCCGTTTTTGGAGGAGACACATGGAGAAAACTCAGCTGAGCAAGCATATGTGAAAGATCTAAAATGCAGCTTGGAAACATTTCTTACCAGTGTATGACAGGGATAACTTCAGTAATTTGTAAATCACTCATCTTAGATGTATTTTTTATAAAACCTTTTGACCACAAATATTCTGTAAAAACAGGTTCTAGCTGTGTATGCAAAAACTACAATTGAAATAGACAAATGTTGTTTCGCTGTAACAATTTTCTTGATACATATTACAAACCCCACTTTGCCATGCTGCACAAATACTGTTTTGGGTTGCCTTAAAGTGAGTTACACATGTGCATTAGGCTAATAAAGCTTTCTTTAGTTAAACACACTGCGGATAGAGGCAAGTGAAGATAGCCTACTCTGTGTTTTGTGCTCATATTGAATATCTTCTGTTATGTAACCATCCAAAGTGCAATTGAAGGCTATAGTGAAAAACAGAGAGGCATACATATTGCATCAAGGAACAAGTGTAATTAGCTACTGAATACAAATCACCCACAGCTATAGCACTCAGTAAGAACTCTATAAAGACAAGACCCACACAATCCATCAATAAATACTGGCTTTCGAGGTAAAATAATAGCAATGCTCTACATATGAGCACGCAATGGAAATAAGAACAACACAGACGCACATTGGAATGAAAAGTATGCAATGTGATCTTCCCACAGCTCCTATTGCTCTCATGTTCTACAAAGGCAGTTTTTAAGACAACATATACTAGAAACTCTCAGAATACACTATATGTGTGTGCTAGATCTGATTTTTCAAAGTACATTTAAGGAAGCTGAACTGAGCATTGAAGAACACTGTTATAGGTTCATGACACTTTGGTCCATAACAATATGGGAGGAAGGAGAGGAAATAATTTTATTTATTGCTGTCAAAAAAACAAGCTTTGTTATCTCAAGATAAAGAGATAGTCATTTCATATATTTTGTCAGTATTGCATCACTTTGAAATTAATAGCTTAAATTTTTTCCAGACACTTAGCTTTGAGTTCTCCTTCTCCATAATTATGCTGATCTTGAGAAAAAACTAGCTCTACCAGATGAACTATTATGAACTTTTAGCTGGGGGACAGCTAAAAGGTAAATTTCAATCAAATTTGTAGTAGATATTCAAGTTCTCAGAGCTTAATGTTAAGAGCACATTTTCATGAACGCAGCAGACCACATGAGTCTGAAAATCCAAGTAAAATTGATGTGCTTGTCGTACAGTTTTCACAGTTTCAACAATTTTCCTAAACTACCTACTGCAACTTTAACTTCATGCATGCTTAAACAAATTACAGTACAGTTTGACCCCCAGGAGTTCAACCTCTACTTGTGTGGGATATTTTGGTGCTCAGTCCAGACCTGGTGGGTTCATCTGACACAACCAAGCAGCTAAATACGAAGGTGGTTCGTGTCATAAGTCTTTTGTTTACATTTGGTGGAATACATTAATAGAATGGTATTTTGTGCACATTTTTTATTTCGGGTAGCATTCTATTACATTCCTGAATCCTTGACATTTTGAAGTTTTGTGTCATCCTACGTGTTTTATTATTGTTGGTATTCTTCAACATTCTACTGTTCAGCTGTCTCATTCTCAGGTGGGTATCTGCGTACTTGAGCCAAGTTGGATGTAGAGTCTTTTCTCCAAAGATACTTTGGCAGAGAAAAAAAGAGATAGAGGGGGAAACAGGAGGAAGCTGCAGGAGGGAGAGCATGTGCAGTGTTTCTGGAGTGCCTCTTGTGATTCTGTGTCCCAGCACTATATCTCAGAGAAGAGAGAGAGAGTGTCTGTGTGTGTATGAGAGAGAGAGAGAGAGAGAGAGAGAGAGAGAGAGAGAGAGAGAGAGAGAGAGAGAGAGAGAGTGAGAGAAAGGAAGGCTGGGAAGAATAAGGGGTCAGTCCAGGGTTTGTCCTCGAAAGGAGAGGAACTTGTGTGTGAGGAATGAGTGTGCATGTGTTTAAGGTCATTTTTTCACCCTGTACAAAGAGGACATAATAATAATCCACCGCCATGAGTCGGACCACCTTCTTTGAGGTAAGTCTGAATGTAAAGTATTAAGCTAAGTGCCACAGAATGTATTTGGATTAACTGAAACTTTTAATTGCAACATTAGATAATGTGGTTTAACAATATAATAATAGTTTTTTTTATTTTCATTTGTTTATTCATTTATTAGATTTATTATTAAGATTTATTTAGGCTCAATAGTGACAATTTAAGAGTGACAGAAAGTGGGGACAGAGAGGGGGTATGAAATGTAGCAAAGGGCTGCAAGCTGGAATCGAACCCAGGCTGCTGCAGTAAGGCCGCAGCTCACACACATATGTTTTCATTAATATTTTCCTATTCTTTATATTTTTCTAATGATTCTGATAGTTGGAAACAACAATCATTTTTATAAATACTGTGCTGTCAGGTAAGGCAACCAGCTTGGAGCATAATTTACGGTAAACTGGATGACACTCATCCCATCAGACATTGAGGACAATTCATGGTGGAAAAGAGCTAAAATCATTATTTTAAAAACAAACTTCAGTCTGATGATGCAATGATGAGCGATGATTCTGCTCAGTAGCCTTATAATTTGTTAGAAAAACAATTCCGAGAATACTCAAGAGGTTTAAAGTGTCAGAAGAGTTTATAAAGACCAAATTTGAGTAAACAAAACTAAGCTGGAATCCTTTTCATGATTTTCCTCATGCCTCCAGTCTTGTCTCTCAAGGCCTGATGAGTATTAATAAAAAGTAATTAGCTGTAAGTGCAGAAGGCCTATGAACTCAAGCTAATTTACAACATGCTCTGGGATGTGTGCCATGCTCTCAGTAACTGCTACATAAAGGCTGCAAGCCAAATATTTAGATTTAGTTTATGAGAAAGATATACATTTCTCAAGCCTGCTCTCAGTTTAGATGAGAAAGTTGAAACTGCTGTCATATCTGTACGCTAAATATGAAGCTATAGCCAACCCCTGGTTAGCTTAGCTTAGCATAAAAACTGGAAAAGTGGGAAAAACAGCTAGCCTGGTTCAAAGATGACAATATCCTCCTACCAGGACCTCTAAAACTCTTTTTTGTTTTACCGGAGCAACAACCAAAGTGTAAAATTGGCAGTGTTGTGTGCTGGACTATTTTTTTGGCCAGGCACAGTCCCTTCCTGTTTTGATGCTGCTAGGCAGACTTTACCTACGAACAGAGCCAGACTAGCTGTTTACCCACCCCAGGCTGTAGCTTGCAAGTTATACTTTTCAAAATCAAGCAAGAACTTTTGAAGGCTTAACACCAATGTTTGCACTTGAGATGAGATTTGGAGAAGCAGTCAGCCAGACATTTTTCAGCATGCAAAGAGTGACATGAGTGCTTAGGTGATTTCTTCCCTTGATTGAAATTCTGTTCAGTCAGAGTGAGTGTGAAAGCAACAAGGACAATAGTACGCTGGGCAGCCACATGTAGCTGATCAGCTTCAATAGTATCATACTCATTGTTTGAAGTAATGATCCTGTGTTTCAAGATCAGCCATTACATTCACCAGCTTTCACATTAAGAGGAGCTATTACAGCTAAGAGACTTCTTCAGTTGGTATCCATCACTTGAATTAATAAAAGCAAGGTACGGTGAATAGAACAACCTGGACCACCTTTGATGGAAACTCAAGGGTTTTAAAAATACACCACAAAGAAATGTTCATTTCAAAAACCACTCTAATTCCCCTCATATATACAAAGCCTTCAGAAACCCTGACAAGCACGCACGCACATGTTCTGTATGACCTGTGCTGTCAGCAGTGCCCTGTATTCCCATGAGAGGACAGGGGCGTCTGATAATCAGATTTACAAGGGCACAGCACAATCGAGTGCACACCGTTTTAGAACACGCAGCCCTAATGGCACCCTTGATGCTCTTCGTGAACACGCAAATGCATCAACATGTGCCCCTACAATGCAGTTGGGAAGGTAAGCAGATGGAAAGCAAAACAAACCCATCTCCCAGGATGCCCTTTACCGAGATGTCAGCATGCCCTGTGCACAGATCCTGCAAAGCATGAACACACACAGCAAGAATGACAAAATGAAGTACTCATGTTTTACTTACAACTGTGAAGTATATTTTGGGATATTTTTTAGTAAATATCTACCTGTTATGGGAGGTTTTGCTGGTTCCAAGAACTTCTGGAGAGTTTCATTTGCTTAAAAAAAGAGGTTGATGTGGTAAATCATAGAGCTCTCTCTCTCTCTCTCTTTATCTCTTCCTCTCTCTCTCTCTCTCTCTCTCTCTCTCTCTCTCTCTCTCTCACACAATCTCTTTCTCTCGTTCTTGACTGTGCACTCAGCAAATCTTTAGGTATCCATTAGTGGGTTATTACACTGTCCAGTAAGGGAACCAATTTAGCTAGGACAGCTCTGCTGAGCAGCACAGTATGGAGTGCTTTCAGGGCAAATTGTGGCCCGCCATCCTCCTTGCATATGCTGTATATCACCACTGACATGGTCTAATTAAGATGAAAAAGATGTGTGCAGGAGAGCAGCAGGACAACACGATTCTTTTTCTCCTACCAAACTCGACCAGCCTCATTATTCAGATAGAGATTACTGTTCTTGATCAGGAAAACTGAACAAACTTGGCTGTGAGGCAAGGAGTCACATAATCATTGTTATTTATATTTCTATGGATGATTAAATAATACTGATAAATCATATTGCTTTGAGTGTTTTTTGTTTCATGCAGGCATCGATTTCCTTTCAGTTGTTTATATTTTATTCACAGGCTGTGATTTGATTTTGACTTTCTGGGACTACAATTACTATAATCTTTATAGTATTATAGTATTTATCTGTAGAGGCAGGGATGGCCTAAAGCAGTGGCTTTTTGGTGTCAAGTATATCTGTAGATTGGCAGATTAGCAATGAAGAGTGTGATAGCAAAACAGAATAGTCCTTCTAATACATTCTAATACTCCTATCTTTTAGCCAATGAAAAAATAGTGAAATTAAATATTCCTCATAGTTCCCATTTTTCTGGGCAACCCCTCAAAAACCCCTCAAGGACCCCTGACGGTCCCCAGACCCCTTGTTGAGACCACTGGTTTAAAGATTAGCGAATATATTAACACAAGTATAGCTGTGTTCAAACCATGCATGTTCTTAAGGAGGAAAATTCATAATAAATCTTGTAATGTGATATTAGTGTCAATATAGTTTTATTGAGGCTAACATATACAGGCTTTCCTATCCTCTAACATATAGAGGAGATAAAATGCAAGGTGGCTCATGAGGAAACTGCATGAATCAGCAAAGGTGTATCGAAATATTCTGTCATAGAGATAGTTGACTTCTTATCAGATTTCGAACCTATGATGTACTTCTAGCTTTCTGGAAATGGATAGTCACTGTCTTTACAGCTTTTTCTGAGAGGAATGTGAAGTAGAGTAGGTCCAGCTTTTACTGCCTGGGGTTTTTGTTTCTGATGTGGCAGTGGAGTACTAATCAAATTTATCACACTAAATATTCAGTGAAATGTGTGTGTGTGTGTGTGTGTGTGTGTGTGTGTGTGTGTGTGTGTGTGTGTGTGTGTGTGTGTGTGTGTGTGTGAAACCTGTTGTGGGTCTTGTGCTTTATAAAAGTTGTACATCTTGTGTTTTCTTTAGGTGAAGGTCCTGGATGCAAAGACCAAAGAGCAGCTTTGTTTTTTAGATAAGGTATGCTCAAATATTGCCATGACAAGAGTTTAACGCTTTTGTTTCCTCCTTAGGTAGGCTTAAGGTTGGATTAATAATTTAATAATAATTGAATAATACATATTTCACTGTCTGACCATATAGCTATTCCTAACTCATCATCCATGTTTTGTTTTTTTTTTGGCTGCACCATCCCACCAAATAGGCAATATTCTGCATATTTTAGACACATTCCTTCTCAAGTAAAGCTCTGTGGGTTTGAACATATTTTGTCTGCATTGCATGAGTTTTAATGTGAGCTTCTGGGGGTTTAACACAAGAACCACTATCAACCTCCTCACTGATAATACATCAAGGTTGCATATTTTTTGTTTGTATTCAATTCAGGTGGAGCCTTACTCAACAATAGGAGACATCAAAAGCCTTTTTCACAAATCATGTGAGTGTTGGTGAGCCAGACTGGTCATCTCTTTTACTGGTGCTATAATATCTTGTTTCTTTAATATATTGTGCAGTCTAAAATATCAATTTGAAATCAAGTTACATTTTTTATTAGTTTTTGCAACTTTTATTGCCTTTACTGTGAACTAAATCGAAAAAAGACGAATAAGCTTGCTATGCTATTAAGTGAATCATCTTTCAGTATATCAGATCACACAACTTCCCCAGAAGGATGTCCTGTTAAAAACAATTTCTTGTTTACTCCTCTGAAGCCTGCAGTGTCTCTGTCATCAGCGTGCGTCCGGTCAGAAATGTTACCAAATGTTTGCCAAGCCCGAGGCCATCAGCATCCATCAAGCAGCAGAGCTCAGCATTATTCCATTGTGATCAATTATTATTGGGCCTGAGGCCAAGATCTGTGTGTGCAATGCCAGCTCATTCCAACCCTGGATTTGTGTGTGTGTTTTAACTGCTCAGATCCTCACTGGTATCCAGCAAGACAGGCGCTGAAGCTTGATCCTAGTAAGTAGCCATGCTATGATTTTTCACTCTATGTGTAGCGTATCATAACAACTTTTAAGCTGCAGTAGGCAATGCTGATCTAGTCTAAATTGCCAGGGGTGGTTACTAGTTACAGTTTTATATGGTTTCAAATTTGGACTTCATTACCCACAAACACTGTTTGGAAGTGTTCTGCTTTGAGTGCTCACTTGTTGCTATTGAGAGGTTTATGTCTCGTCTCTAGGTTTTTACTTATCTCACCAGAAGCTTCCTATTGTGGGAAAATATTTTGCGTTTCTCTGTTAAAGTCCCATAATGTCATTTAGGTTAAGTATGTATGACCACTGCAGACCGGGAACACCCCACAACCTCAACCTAACCCCAAGAAACTGCTCATGGGCGCTGCTAACGCGAGCCCATCACTCCACCATCTCTGTGTGTGTGTGTGTGTGTATAAGAATAAAAAAGAGTGAAAAGAAGAATTTCCCCAATAGGGGATTAATAAAGTATATATCTTCTTCTAGTATATCCCACCCACTCACAGATGCCATGATAACCAGATAATCAGTGTTATTCACTTCACCAGTCATTGGTCATAATGTTATGGCTAATCGGTATAGACATATAGCCACTCTGTAAAAGTTGTACAGTGATTAAACGTAATTTATTGAGCAATGTATATGTCCCTCCAGGCACTGCTGTTCTGCATCTGACACTCATGCAATTTGTTGTGTGACTTACATTGAGATATTTTCAGCTTAGTACACCTCCACATGTCCACAATGTGAAGTGCATAGTTTAGAAGAGACGTACATGTCCAGCCGAGCTGAAATAAGTATATTCCACATGCCTAATATTGATGACTTAGGGCAAAACACAGGCGTGTTCAATGGGCGGATTTAATGGGAGATTTTGAAATGAAGTCACCGCCATTACACAGTGTGACCCAGAATGTTCAATCACATTTGCAATGGCTTTAAGTCTGGAGGTGAATGAAAGCCATAACGCGCCCAGCATCTCTACAGAGCTACCATCACTGTGGAAACTACTGTCTGTTCAGCATAAAAGGTGGACTGCTTAATGTGTATTTGAAACACTTTCCTCCATTAATTTCAGCCTGAATAGAAAAGGCGATTACAGCACATGAAGTACATAAGACCTACCATGAGGTATGATGTTGCAGGATGTTGAATGGACTATGAGGGCTATCTTATTACTGAAAAGCACAGAGTAGAGACTTTGGTTAAAAGCTATGTGGGCCACTTACCCCTGAGGATATTCTAAAAATGTCATCCAATTAGTTCAACATATTATCTGTGGCTGTGTCCCCATGAGCTTTCAGGTGGAGAGAACGTGTGCTGAAAAACTGATTAGACATTCATTAAAACTCTCTGAGTTGAGTTTAAGCCACAATATTTTGCACAGGACTGCTTAACTTTCCATACTCATAATGAATATCATTATGACTGTTATTTCAAATTCTGTCAATATGGATATTTCTCAACTCTAGGATGCTTGATAACCTAGGGAGGATATTTTTCACTGGATAGTAGAATTATTTTATGGTAGAATTTCAGATGAAGCTGAATTTGTCTATAAATGTTTTTTCTTTTTTCTTTCAGAGGAAAAATCCCTCAGAGACGACGAAATCTTGCAGAATCTACCAGTTGGGACTACTGCCACCATGTACTTCAGAGACCTTGGGCCACAGCTGGGTTGGACAATGGTAAGAAGAGCACACTGATTATTGATGTGACAATACTGAGAAAGCTAAAAAAATAAATCTGTGCCTGGTTCTTCAATTGTCAGCTGGCACAATATTGAGGCACTTTATTTGGTGAATATCTGGCTGAATCCTTGTTTGCAATAAAAAACAAAGGATTTTTGTTGTTGTTTATTGCCTACCTTCTTCTACTTACACAACACATTTGTTCTGTTTGTTTGCATGTCACCTTTGTGATATTACATTTAAAATGTAATATAAAATAGACAAATGATAAATGACAATCTCGAGAGCACAAGTTTTTTCTCCATGACACTTCCCAGGTCCCACAGTAGAGAGGTAATATAAAGTGTCATCTGTTTCCAGGTGTTTCTGGCAGAGTGCGTCGGGCCCCTTCTCATCTACCTCCTCTTCTACTGTCGAGTACCGTACATTTACTCACACAGATATGCCTTTACCTCCAGTCCTCTTCCTGTTGTCACGTAAGTGGAAACTTCACTTGAGCACAGGTTATTGTAGACAGTGGGTTTTAACTTGCAGACACAGATATGAGCTGGAAAAATAAGAAAAATACTTGATGAGAAGATTTATACCAAACTAAAGTCAGTTGTACCAATGTTGTTATCTAATTTACAGCCATAAAAAGAATAAGCGTATTTCCCAAACTATGCTTTAATAATAATGCTTTTATTATTATACTATTATTAAAGTCTGTCATTTACTTCTTTACTGACATTCTATGCCTCATTACATATAAAATTACATCTGTAATGGAGTAAAGGTCATAGTCTGTAAAATTAAATAAGAATCTCAAAACTAACTTCATTATCTCATGTCAGAGTACTATCTACACTGACATGAGATAAAACAGCTGTTGTTGGGGGGAAAATCGATATTTTATGCTGCTATGACAGGATGATTTGGACAGTCTCTTTATTTCATGTTGATTTGCTTATTGATCCACGTTCTCCCTTGGTGTGTCATTTAATTCAAGGAAATGTTTAAATCCTATAAATAGAGGTTGAACTAATGTCATCTGTTTTTGTTTTTCAATCTTTTACACACTATCATAACTAACAAGAGATTCAACCAATTCATCTTGATATTGTGTTGCATCTTGTTGCATTTGTTTATATTATTCTGGTTTGTTCTATTATTTACAGTATATTTCATTTTCTGAATCTCAACAGTTTTGTTGCTGCAGTGACCCAATTTGGCACAAAGGCATCATTTAAATTTAATCTTTTCTCACCTCAGTTTGAATCTGCTGCAAAAATAGTGATGAAGTTGCATACTATGGCATGTTGAATGTACTTATTTGTATCCCTCTTCTCTGTCTCTCAGACTAGCCTGTGCCTGTCATACCTTCCACTATATGAAGAGGTTGATAGAGACTATCTTTGTGCATCGTTTCTCCCATGGGACCATGCCTCTCAGGACAATAGTCAGGGTGAGGACATGACTACCCTTGAAAAGAGGAGCCTTTTGAGATGCTCACCTCGTTTACAATATGTGGCCTCTTTTCCGCAGTCTCATACCAGCTGTTGTGGTACTGATTTTAGCCTAAGGACTCCTTCTGATACAGAAGGCTGCTTACGGCAGTCTCAGAGCACCCTGTCTTGATGATGAGAGGTAGTTAGGTCTTCTATTTTGTGACTTATAGTGGTTCAAAAATCGAAATTGAATTAAAGTAAGAAATACATTTTCATTTTAATAGTCCGGTTTATTGTACATCACGCAATAAGATAATCATTTTCATGTATTCATACACCTGTATTGTTTGTTTCCTCTCTCAGAATTGTGCCTATTATTGGGGTTTCTCAGCTTGGTTGGCCTACTATATCAACCACCCTCTTTATACACCTCCATGTGAGTCAGCCCACACACACATACAATGTTGTTTTTCTCTATATACTGCAGCTTATCAACACAAGTCTATCTCTATTCACAGCATATGGAGAGCTACAAGTTAACTATGCATTAGTTATATTTGTGGTACGTATACTGGTTTTCACTCAGGACCAACAGAAATTCAGTGTGCATGTATGTGTGACAGTACAGTGAGAAATGTTTGTTGTTTGCTCCAGATGTGTGAACTGGGCAACTTCTCCATTCACTTGACTCTTAATAATCTCAGAGGAGATGGTGAGTGGTTGAGCTTCATTCTACTTCCTACTTTAAGTTATAAAGACATTGCCCATTCAATCAATTTAGATAAACATATACTAAAGCCATTTAAAACTGCCTAAAACCATTGATTTGTTCCCATCATTTGTAGTACTCCATGCAAATGCTATTTTGGTTTGGTATCAACCATGGAAATATGGAGGATATGGATGTCTAATATATTTCCATCATTAAGAAAACTGCTACATAAAATAAAATTAAAATGTTATTTCAATCTTTTTTTTTTTTTTTTTTGCCACCCAACTGTTTCTCAGGATCCAGGGGCAGAAAGTTTCCTATGCCAACCAAGAATCCCTTCACATGGTTATTTTTCTTTGTATCCTGTCCAAATTATACATACAAGGTAATAGCAAGCTTTTATCCTAATTAATTATGATTATGAATAACATCCATGCTTGTGTATTTACCTCTCTGTCTGCCTGTAAATTTATTTAATTTAAAAAATGTACTGTAGGTTGGAGCTTGGGTGAGCTTTTCCATCATGACCCAGTGTCTGCCAGGTACAACACATTATTTTCTGCACCAATAGCAATACTGTATAAAATCTGTTTGTGCTAATGAGTGTGTTTTATATTCTAGTGGCATTGTACACATTATTGGGGTTCATTCAGATGACCATTTGGGCCAAAGGGAAGCACAGAGCCTACAGCAGGGAGTTCAAGGACTATCCCAGCCTCCGGATGGCCATTATTCCCCTGATTCTCTAAAAGTATTGTACCAAGGGTTGTCTTTCACTAAACAAAGACGTTTGCTGCTGCTGCATCCAGCAATATTTTCATATCAATAAATAAACTGAAAGAAGTGGTAATAGAAGCAATAATGTTATGGCAATACACTGGAGCCTTTTAAAAATAACTTTTAATATTTTAATTTTTCTGTTTCAACAATGGGTTTTAGTTTCTTCCGAGGAGTTTAATTTGGTGTTGTGATATGAAGTTAGCAATATTATGACATCTTAATTGCTGTCATATTCTCTCTGCTGTGTTAAATTTTTTATAATTTTTTCATATTTGGCTCCTTTAAGTCTTGATTTAAGGTTGAAAAATGGCACTTTAGCGTTTTAGCAAACCTTATTCAAACCAGTGAGTAGTACTTACTGTGTGATGGCTTATTAGCCACATTACAGCATTAATAATGTTTTCAGGTTAAGTAAAAGAAATAAAATATATTGTAGCTCATTAAAGTGCCTGCAGAAGCAAACTAACAGACAAATTAATATGTCATGTCATCCATTTGAGAGTGCAACATCACTTTTAAGCTCTCAGCAGGAATGCTGAGAAAGCGGACATTTAATTATGCTAATATTAAGCTTCTCTACTGTATATCTCAGATCGTTTTCTTCCAAGAAATGGAAACTGTACTGTAGAAGTGTAACTCCTGGCATTAATGTGTAGAGGGCTCATCAGGTAGTCAGTAATAACTACTGTGGTTCTCTAGCCCTTGATGTCTAATCTCAGGTTTATTAAACTGTTATAAACTGTTTCCTATAAATGTGAATGTGAAAAAATCTCAAGCAGTTCTAGTGTAGAAAAAAATCATCAAAAAACATCTGTAAAAAAAAAAAAAAAAGGTTCACATCTTAAGGAAAAAGTCAATTTATTTGACATAATGTTCCTCTCAGAAACTTTTGTGACATTGTTTCAACTTTCTCTAACGACACCAGGTGCTGGTGGAATGCAGACAGTTTACATATTTATACTGTTTATGATGAAGGGCAAAGACTGAAGTGACATTGGTGGCATAAAAATATCACACTGTATCGAAATTAATTTCATAGCAGCAAGATTTTGTAAAAAATTAACTAGTATTGCACTAGCAGATTTGTTAAGCAGATTGCCAAACATCTTGGTAAAAATTGTGATGCTTTAATTAAAGCTGCATCAATAAAGTGCTAAGACTATGCTTCTCTGAGTGCTCATTTCATATATCTAAAGAAGGCAAAAAAAGACTCTTGGCATCTGAAGCAAAAAATACACAGGGCCTATGCTTTCTTCTCAATTCTCATCAAGTTCCCATAGCAACCTGATATTGAACTTCTCTGACATATCATCAATCAAAGTTATGGTCCTTAAATCTAAAGCTCTGTTTCAAGGCCTACAAGGTGAGCAGAACGTGGAACATACAGCAGGCACATAAATGCTCCACACTTTCCGAATTCAAAGCCCACTAAGCCTGTTTAGGAAAAGCGAAGTAGAGCATGTGCAGTATTGCCACATATCAAATCATCAGTCAAACAGGACAAATGTCAAGTCCCATTAAAGTGGCTGCCTCCTTCATTGACTGCATTTCACCACACAATGGATCAACAAGAACTCAACAACTTTGCTCAGTTTTGGAGGACATAACCTCTCCATCCACTGTGTTTTTAGTATCCCAAAACTGATCATGCACTAGTCACTTGTCTCTACAAGGCTTGGGACGGGACGTCATGATGACACTATCTTCTGTAGACTGTCTCATGTGAAGAGGAGGTTCAAGCTTTTAGGCCTCTGGACCACACAGACATCCACAGGCCGCATTCTTTTGAACATGGCGACCCCTGAAATGGAAGCCAATAACTATTCCAGCTGAGCTCATTGAGGTTGAAGTTCACTTCTTCCCCAAAGACTTGAAGGGTATGGTGTCAATATATCGCTGTGCCCCAGCAGCTTTTGGGTGCAGCACAATGGCGTCATCCTCCCTTGACTGCTGCTTGGCGAAATTCACAAAAACCTACAGGGACATAAAAACATTGGGTTCAACTTGATGTCCTCTGAACCATACAGCTGCCCTAACCTTGAAAAATGTGATAGTCAGCACAAGGCAGAAGACATAGGTGGATCACACATCAGGTCAACATATGAAATATAATGGCAAATCAAAAGGCAAAGATATGAAATATGCAGCCAATAATATATCTTGTGTTTTCCTATTCTTGTTTACCTGATCAAGAGTGGTCTGCGACACTGAGTAGTCCTCTATGTTGAGCTTGTCTTTGTTAGCCAGGACCATTTGAAAGATTCTAGCCAGGGAGGAGGAGGAGATCTTGTACTGTAGAGTGTTGTAGTGTTTTTCTCTCTGGATGCATCCAGGGAAGGTGCTCTCCATGAATGCTTCGGCTGGGTTCAAGTCTGGCGCACAACCAGGCTTAGCTGCCCTGATCTTCATGGTCACCACGTAACCATCGCCGTACCTAGGTTCACATTGATCAGTTAAAGCAAAATCAAAGATCAAAGGATTTTGTATTCATTGTTGTATGATATTTTGGATAAATTTGATATGTGATATGGGATAAAGTAAAATTACTAACTTGTATTTGAGATGCTGAATAGTTCCCAAACACTTGAAGGATCCATTAACCATAATTGCTAAGCGGGTACACAATGCCTCACATTCCTCCATACTGTAAAGACAGATGGTAAAAAAGAAAAAAAGAATTCAAATCTGAGCTCATAAATATGCATGCACACACAGTTAAACACCCACACCAGATAGTTTACCTGTGTGAAGTGAGGACCACAGCTCGTCTGTCCTGAATAACACTCATGATTGAGTTCCACAGAAAACGTCTGGAGAGAGGATCCATACCTGTAGTGGGCTCATCCTAATGTACAGCAATAGTAATAACAAACACATCAACATACACACAGAAACACCTAACCATGCTCCAAGCACTGTCATTAGTGTTGGCCTTACCAGCAGCACCAGTGCAGGGCAGCCTATCATGGCAATGGCTGTGGAGAGTTTCCTCCTGTTACCTCCGCTATAGGTCCCAGCACTTCGGCCTGCGTCCTCTGACAGACCCAGCTTGTGGATGGCCCACTCTGCAACCTGAGCATAGGGAGGATAAGGGCCTCATGTTACAATTCAGTTGAACTTCAGTAAAGTAATCCTTTAACTCGATACAGGAACACAATTCAGCAGGTTTATAGATTAAAATGACACTATGTACACTTTCAAATACGCAGGGCCTCTAACTGAACAGTATTGCATTATGACTGTTTATAGTGTCTTGTGTATTTTATTCTCTGTTCAAACAAGTTTGTATTTGGTAAAGGAAGGCAGCTATTCAAACATTTGTATGTAGTGATGTCAACTGTAGTTGTATTTGGCCATTACTGAAATGATACTGCTGCTTTAATTCCTCACTACAATCCTCTCTTTATCAGACTTTATTCTGGTTGCAATTCACACACAATTTTCATTCATCACCTTCGTTTTTTTTATTATAACTTCTACAAGACGGAGAAGGAGGATGAAAAGTTAAGCTTGGGATTGTGTTAATTTTGATTTAACTTTACAGTGCTTCTTGCAACTTTTTAAAATAATTTGCGTCCTGGTGAAAGCTGCTTCTCACCCTGCTGATCTCAGCCTCTGGAACTCCACGGAGGCGGGCATAGAGGTGTAGATGTTCTCTACCTGTCAGCAGCTCATCTATGGCATCAAACTGTGGGCAGTATCCCATGTTCTGGTGAACATCCAGGATGTTGGTCAAAACACTGAAGAGTTAGGGGGGGAAATGTGAGTTAAACAATACAATTTCTGATTACAAGCCTCAAAATATCTATACAATTCTATATGGGTTACTTTCTATTTGTAAAAACAATGATACTAACCTGTGACCAGCAACTGAGGCCTGTCCTGAGGTGACGTCAATGTCTCCAGTCAACATCTTAAACGTTGTGGTCTTCCCTGCTCCATTGACCCCCAACAGACCAAAGCACTACAGAGGATTGGGAGATAAAACATGATAGATTAACAATAAAGTGGCCAGATTGTTTCCCTCTGCAGAGTAAATTGTATTGGTTTAACCACACAGACCTCTCCAGGTGAGACTCCAACACAAATTCGGTCCACCGCAGGGAGGATTGTTCCCCTGTACGTCTGGCAAGGCAAGATGAGAAGAAAATAAGGATAAAGATGGAAGTATATTTTGAGTTTAAAATATTTTATCCATTGCCCATGATTGATCATATATAAATAAATAAAAATATCTCACCTTAGACAAGTCTCGTATGCGTAAAATGTCATTCGTTTTCTCACTCCTATAGATCCGCTCTCTTTCCTCTGCCACATCTACATCTTCATCCAAAATATGAGGCTTTGGGCAATCTGATATCCTGCCAATGGAAAATTAACTATTCAGCAGATCAACTTCTACTCTAAATTTTAGACAGCAGTGTGACAGCATCCCTTCATTTTATTACGCACACTGTAATTTTCAAAAAGCAATTACAAGTAAGTACATCTGGCAAATTTGGTTTCCTAATTCAAGCTCTACTATACTTACCAGTGATCAAGGAAGAAGCGATACTGGAAGAGAATGTTAAGGATGAAATAGACATATCCCTCAAAAGCCATGAAGAATAGGTTTTTCCCAATAAAATCCCAGTGGTAGGGGTCTGGACTGTAGTCCTCACCTGAGGAAATACATAAACATTATACATCTGTAAATCACGCTTTCCCACTTTTCAAAAATTGCATTTTTCCTCGATATAAGGAAGTTTTCAATTTACAGTAGAAATAGTGATTGTAATTGTATTGTAATATTTCAGATTTTGCCCTTTCAAGTTCTCTGATTTATTCTACACTACTACAGAATCTGTTGCAGAGTTTTAGGTGCTCAAAGAGAGGTCTATAGTGCACTGCAGCTGGTTGGGGCATACATAAACATCAGATTTCTGATGCAGCCAATGACCCAACATTTATTGTGTTGAGATGGTGGAGGCTTTTGTTGCAAGAATTTGTTTACTGAACTATGAGCATGTGTGTGTTCTGTGTTACCAAAGCGAGCGTAAATATCAGTCACAGCCTGGTTCATGGCCATGTCTATGAGACCTCGGCCCAGGCAGTAATGGGGGAAGATGAGCAGTACGGCCTTTAACAGCTGGTTGAGTTTGTACAGAGCCTAGACAGAAATTAAAACACACACAAATTAGGGTGATATGGAAGATGCATGAAAGATGGAATTGACAGAAACAAGCCCGGTGGCCTTACTGTGGAGCTCTCAAAAAGATCCAGGATGAAAGTGATGGCACTGCTGTTGATGCCAATGAAGAGGTTGATACATGACAAAGAGACGTAGGCTGTGCTGGGGACACTGAATATAAAGGACATTGGGTACATCATGGGTGTCACAGACCAACTGCAAGAAAAAGGGAGAGATCAAAAAATCAAAACAACAAAAAAAGTAGTTAAGCACAATGAATATCACAATCTAATGACAATGATACTAATGACCTAACCCTATTAGGCACACTTGGTTTTTGCAAAACAGTTGTGGGCAGTGCCTGCTTATCAACTTTTTAAATCCACCTTACATGTTAACATCAATAAATCCACCACCACTCAGTCTGGAGACAGAACAGTCACCACAAAGAATAATAGGAGATTGGCAGCTTCAACTCATCTCTACACTGAATCTTATATTGTGTTTTAAACTATTGGCAAAATACAAGTAGTCGAGATGTATCGGTCAAGTTTGAAAAAGAATACAGCAGTATGAAGTTTACTATAGTATAGTATATTATAGTAAAACTAACAAGACTAAAATTACTAATAAAGGCTCCATATCCTCATTTATTATGATAAATTAAGATATGAGGCAAAATAATACAATGTTACATAAACTGATGACATTGCATGTAGCCTATAAAATTATATATTTTATAGAATATATTCCACTGCTGATATTTTGACTGTCACGGGCCCTCAGTGGTATCTCACATATAAACTGGATGATGACAAATATCTGATAAGGGAGGCATCTAAAAATCTGATCAAGACAGCCACACAATTGATCATTGTGGGAAGAGACAGAAAAAGAAAAACAGGGTAATATAACCTGTGTTACCCTGCTGTTGTGGAATCAACTCAAATATTAGGCTTTAAATTTCCTTTGATAGAGAGAATCTGTTCTTGGT